GCCCGAGTATTGATCGCTGAACGAAAGTTGTGTTTTATTATTTTTCCTTTGTTCACATTTTGTTTTGTCTATGATATTGCACCCCCCTCCCTTGTGATTGTAAGCCGCCCTGAGTCCCCTCAGGGAAAAGGGCGGCCTATAAATCTTAATAAAATGCTTAATAAAAAAGGGCCGACTCGTCATGACTTTGCATTTTTATGTACATCGATTACCCAAGGTGTTGGTAATCCAGTGACATCTAATTACTTAGCAACACTGTTATTAGCAATAGTTGCAATATTTGATATGGGGGCCAAAAGAACCACTCGGAGGGGGGGTTCCCCCACATAGGAAAAAGCACCAAAAGCCGGCCAGACTGCCCTGAATTCTATTAATTCATTTGTCCCTCCGAATTTTAATCTGATCCTCTACCAGACAAATCATCCAAGGCGAGCGCTATGGAAGAGCAAATCTGCAAAGTCATGCTGGCGCTGCAGCTCCTAAGCAAAGGGCGGGAAGAGAGCGGGGAAAGGAGCCAACCGATAGGATTGCCGGCTTTGCGTCACTTCTATCGCGAGATTTCGGACGGTATAAAATCAGGTAACTCGCCTTTCTTCCTTTCTGTCTTGTACCGGTCGGCCTTCTGAGAGGCTGCTCTTGATTCGCTTTTAGGTAATTGCAGCTGGGTGAGAGCCGGGGTGGCGGGAGGTTCGTTTCACAGCCGGGGCTGGATTTGTGGAACAGCATTTCCCCAAGCAAGTGGGGGGGAAACAACCCTTAGTTTTCGGTGATACTTTATTGCATGTTGGAGGAGAAGGGAGACCTTTTTTAATAATGAAAGCAATGGGTTTAACTTCAGCTGTTGAATTAGTTGGAAGTTTTTACTGCCTTTCTCGCAGCAGGTGCCTCTTGGCTTAACCTGGGCGGAGGCGGAATAGAGAGAAAATCTGATCGAAACAACCGAAAGTCGGTTACAGGGGCGCGGATTGCGCTGCCTCTTCGATTATTACATTAAGTTGCACCTCTAAAGGTTTTGCATTTCTTGTAACGATGTTGCGGTTGAACCAGCTGGAGGTTACAATGGGCTATTTAAACAAGGAGAACCGTTAAGGCGAGTTTCCTTTGCAGAGACGCTCGGGTGCTCCGGATGGAAGCGGACGTCTCGGGTTTCTCGGATCTCCTTGGGGGTTGCTAGGCGTTTCGATCTGTTTGTGCTCTAATTGAAGATCCATAGTGCTTTGTTTTAGATCTAGCCTTTTCACTTGCTGGATACGTAACGTTTCAGCCCTTCGGAGGATTAGCGCGATGTGCAAATTCGTTGGTGCTTGCAGTTAAGGGTAAAAAACGTGGTAAATGCTGCAATCTTTCCAAACTGAATTGGAGAAAAATGTCATTTGAACTCCTTGGAATCTGAGAGATAAAATTTGCAACAGCCGTGGGATGGTGAAAGTTTATAAATTCATAAATTAACTTCCTCTTCAAAGGTTTCAATTTTCGGTAATTACATAATGGGAAACGAAATCTATTCCCCCCTCCCCCATCTGAACTTGGATTGTTTAAAGATTGCCTTTAAGAGTTTTCTTTAAACTTGCTGTCTTTAATATTCAGAATTGTTTCAGAATGTAATGTCTAACTTGCACAAATGTACACTGGACTTTTTAAAACTGGTTATACATTGGATTATGTCAAATTGTCATTTTGGATAAAGCTAATTTAGATTTAGTTGTGTTTTCTATACTTGGTACAGATTATGACTTGAATATATAAATTGAATTGGTATTGTTAGGAGAATCTGCAAATACTATTTGTCTACAATGCTTAGCATTTGCGGATATGCCAAATATGCCAAATATACCAGAAGCTTGATAAAGAGTAAGATTGCAAAATATATGGCTGCATAAGATTAGCAGAAGGACGTACTGTATAAAGAACAGTTTTGATTTTAGGAATTAAGCCAGCTAAAATATATGGTTTCTTAGGTCATACTCTCATCCCAGTTGATGGTTGATAAATGAAGAAAAAATGCTGTCCTATATTCAGGAAATTTGTATTAACAAAAGCATGTTAATCTGTAGTTTGGGTAATTGATAATAGGTGACTTCTGACAAATTATTTTTTAAAAGGCTTAAGACCATTTTTTAGACCATTAAATTTCAGCTTCTAAAATTTCTGAGGTTCTGAATAGCTTGACTATCAATGCTCTTTCAGGTGATACCTTGCTAATTTGCTAATCATTTCTCTCTCTCTCTCCCTCTCTTAAGCTTCAGTCACAATGTCCTCAGGAAATGCTTTCATTGGGAAACCAGCCCCAGACTTCAAAGCCACAGCAGTAATGCCAGATGGGCAATTCAAAGATATTAAACTTTCTGACTACAAAGGTAAGTCCAATAACGCTTGTTGGATTGGTGGAGGTGGTGTTATAGAACATTATGTAGATAAATAGGATCCTAGTCCAAAAACAGGATCTTTGCTTCTGAAATATTCTGTTTAAGGTTGCAAAAATACAGTTTGAGCATCTCACAACTGGTTTATAGCAAAATGCATTGTGCACAGGCATGGAGCATTTAAATTATGAGACCATATATTTAGGACATTAAAGTGGAAATGGGTGAGGTATCCACTTGTCTCACCAGTAAAATCATGAGATAATTGTAGCAATCAGTTGTTTTGTCATATATATATATATATAATTTGATATATATAGATAGAGAAGGAAAGATGAAGATATGGTTTACTTCATCCTGTCTACTATACTTGGTCTCAAGGCTGGATTTCAGGATAGGATCTCTGAGAGCCAATATTCTACTGCCTTTGGCAGGAAAAGCACAATTCCCCTTTACTTGATATTAATCATAGTTGGAAGGGCTGCTCAGTGTCAAAATGCTATGCTGATTATGACTCGGCCAAATGTTATTTGGCAGTGGAGAAACAAGAACCTGATGCTTCCAGGAATCTAATTGAAAGTGGAAGCCTACTGAATAAATCCAGATTAAGTTATCTGGTAACATTGTGGCCCTCACCACACATGGCTTTAGATTGTTTTGGAATGTTGAAATAACAGAGAATTGAAGTCTGTGGGGAGATACTATATTGATAGCACCTGCTTTAACTTATCTTGAGCTTAAGTAGTTACTACAGCGGATAGCCAACAGCTGAATTATGCTGGCAATTGATAAGTATGTAGTATAATTGGTTAGTGAAGGAATAATACACTATCTTATCTGGAGTTTAATATTTTTGTGTTGAAACTTGCATGCTTTTAAGTATAGGCCCCTATTGTGTTATAGAGTTGTGTATGAAGCATCCACAAATATGGCTGCTTAGCAGTAAGGAGAACTTTTGATAATTATATAGCATTTTCAGTTGTACTAGATATCTTTTGTGCTATTTAGCAATCTGCAGAGATGGCATAAAATTGCTCTAATATTTGAATTTTGAAATACAGGATTTGGTACTAGGAATGTGCAAAAGCATCCCACGCTTGCTTTTGGATGATCTGTGGCTGATTTAAAATGCATGTTTTTGGAAGTTTTGGTCCAAATTCTTAATGGAATGAGGCTGTTTTGTTCTGATTAATATATTAATATAGGGCAGAAATTGCCCAAGGGTAGTGAAAGTATAAGGACATAACAAAGGACTTGAATGACCACTGAGTTTTGTTTCAGCCACCTCGTGGAAAATCCAAAATGGTTCAGGCAAAACTTGTAGAATACATTGATTTCTTTTGGTTTCAAAACATTTTCCATTTTATGCACTGCCTTAGTAATTATATCTTTCTGTAACTGTACCAATTTGACTATGAAAAAAATGTTTCCATGCTACTGACTACCTTTTTCAACTTTTTCCTAGGAAAATACGTTGTATTATTTTTCTATCCACTTGATTTCTCACCTTTGTCTGCCCAACTGAAATTATTTCATTCAGTGACCGGTCTGATGAATTCAAGAAGATAAATTGTGAGGTGATTGGTGCTTCTGTTGATTCTCACTTTTGCCATCTAGCCTGGTAAGAATCTTTGGGTTTGGGGTTTTCATCCTGTCAAAGAGCTTTTTCTGATAATGGTAGAAAATTATGTTTCTGTTGAAATTAAAACCTTTGAGCCTTTTTGCAATTGTTAAAATTGCTAAAATACTTTATATTTGCACATTTGTGCTTTAGCTTGAGTTGACACTTAATGAAAAGGTACAGGTTGGAAGACATTGTTGCAAGTGAAATGAACAGCTGCTCTGAAGTGATTTCATCAGCAAGCCTTAACTTATTTCTGATGTCATTTCATGTACCAAACAATTAATATGTAAAAGAGATGAAACCTAATTCCTGCTTAATAACTTGCAAAACTGGTAGGTTTTTGAGTCTCCGATAACTGTCACAAACTTACTTATGCAGAGCTTTAAAGATTTTTAGAGTCTGTTAAAACTTACACTAAATGGAGCCATTTTTTTCTGCCATTTCATAGTAGCTGTATTAATGCCAAGGAACTGTTTAGTTTTTGTTGCAATTTATATTGCACAAGGACAGCTGGATTGCAACACCAAAAAAGTTTCCACTGTATTCCTATAATGAGAACTGACATTTGGTAATCTGCAAAAGAGTTGAACTAAGGAGGATACTTTTGGATCTCTGCCTCTTTGCAATTGTTAAAATTGCTAAAATACTTTATATTTGCACATTTGTGCTTCAGTTGTGATTGATCATTTTAAAAGTATTTGAAGAACTACCAATTTTTGAATTCTGTTTTCAACTCTTCTTAAAGGATCAACACTCCCAAAAAACAAGGTGGACTAGGCAGTATGCGCATTCCTCTGGTTTCTGATACAAAACGTCTAATTGCTAAAGATTATGGTGTACTAAAGGATGATGAAGGTATTTCTTACAGGTAAGGTAACAATCTCCATCTGATTTGTATTCTTCAAGCGGATAACCTATTTCTCCCTTCAGATAGTTTTTAAAATTAAATTCACTTGCATTGAATTATAGGTATATTAATAAGGATATTGCTGGTCTTCAATAGTTCATAGTTTTAAGCTATCAATGCTTATGTTTAAATGCCATCATCATTTAGCCTGTTTTCAAGTTTACATTTACCTAGTAGCAATGGATCTGTACATTATCAATTTCAGATAGGCCTTACTTAAAAGAATTCTTGCTTCCCTTGGTAGGAAGAATTAGTTATGTAAAAAATGTATGTAATGTATGTAAATAAAGAATGTAAACTAATTCCTTATAATACGTGAAAACTTTGCCCAAAGTTCTGTTTGTTTCAGCAGGGAAAAAAAATCAAAACTGAAAGAATAAGTTGTAGTTCTTCCTTAGGCATGAAAGCCAGCTAGGTGATTTGAGGCCAGTCACTCTAGCAGTAGACTTTCAGGTGCCTATCCCTGAGGATGGGCATGGATGAGTCTCCCTAGTGAAAGAATGGTCTGACGGGGGTCTTAGAAACATGCTTTCTCTGTCATCGTGCCTGCCTTTATAGAATAGCCTCACCCCAGCCCGAGATACAGATGTTGCTGATTTTTTTGGCTTTTAGGAAAGCTGTGAAAACCTGGCTTTTTGGCCAGGTGCATAGGGGCCAGGATGTAAACAGTTCTGGCACAGGATGGTTGATGGATGAATGTAAGTTTTAGATGTTTCAATCTTTGTTATTTTAAAGAGTGTTTGTATTATAATTTGTTCTCTGCCTTCTAGGGTTGGGCATCCATACAAGTTTGATGAATAATATTAGGCAATATTGTTTCTTATCTAGTACTATTCAAGCTAAAGAATTCTGCAAGAAGCTAATATTTCACATAGCACATGCAGGAATGAGTGCCTTATATTTGATATTTGCTTTATTTGCATTCTAAAAATAAATTCAGAGAAAGTTGAATTGGTGTTTGCACAACCTCTAACTTCTTTTATTACTTTTTTCCTATTTTAGGGGCCTCTTTATCATTGATGAAAAGGGGATCCTGCGCCAGATCACAATCAATGATTTGCCTGTTGGTCGTTCAGTTGATGAGACACTCAGGCTAGTTCAGGCTTTTCAGTTTACAGACAAAAATGGAGAAGGTGAGATTAGTTATACTTTTAAAAAATGTATTGGCCTCATAAGCTGCACTGGGCTCTAGCTCTAGTAGCATACAAAACCTAGGGAAATTTTATGCAAAACTTTATATTTGCCAGCTTGTATTGGTAAAGCAGGAAATGGAATGAATTGGTTAGCCAGAACATGCACTGAGAGACAGTTTGGTGTAGTCATTAGGATCTGGTTAGAAATTGAGACACTGAGTTGATTTAACAGAAGAAAATAATGTAGTGCTAACACTTTGTTTGCATAGCAAAAAATATTTTTAGAATTATGTAAATTACATAGATATGAATACTTGAGAAATTTTAGCACTTTTTTAATACATTAAAAATAGATTGGAGCTGCCACCTGGATAGTATTTGTATGATTAAGATGTAGGCTGTTAAGGTTGGGTGCGTAGATGTAAGTGTTGTTTACAAAAGATTTATCCATTTGTTGT